TATTATTCTAAGGTGGGCATATTGATGCTTCAAGTAAGATTTTGGTATTCGTATTAAGGCAGAAAAGGAAAATGGATGTAAGTAGGTAGCCATGTCTGCCACAACTCCCTTATACCATCATTCCATGCAGTTATGGAAAGACTGTTTCATTTGGAGTACCTCATATTTTACCTACTGCCAGTTCATTTGGGTCATTTTATGTAGCACACCAAAGGAAAACGTGTTCATCATGTATGTGGTCAGTCATACATATTGGGAATCTACTATATCTGGTTTTTTAGTTTTTTCCCATCCATCTGCCAGTCTCTCTTTTTCTTGATAAAGAAGGCCAAGAATCCACGAAAAACAAAGGGGAGGATAAGGGAGCCAAGTCCAAAAATGGCTCTCCCCCTTTTTAGCTGTGTGATGCTCAGTCTAATGAGTACAATCTACCAGCCTCCAGGGCATGGGGAGCATTTACGAGATACCGTATATAAAAACACCTCTGCCATAAGAGCCACTCCGTAAATAAATATATTCATTGATTCCTTCCTTCATTTAGAGGGTGAAGGACAATTGAATCTGAGATCAGCCCAGAAAGTCTGACTTCTTTGTTGGGTTCGCACTCTTAAGAACACAGGATGCTTTTGATATGGAAAATGTCCCACCCAATAATAGGAGCACTTTGCCCTTAGAATGGCTTATCCTTACCAGAGCTGATGGAATCCCCCTTCTTAAGCATGTATGTAGGTGTCGCAAGAGATACCTGCAAAATTAAGTGAGATTCAACAAGTTCCCTCCCCTCCTCTGGGCCTCCTGGATCTCCGGGAGAACGTAGGAATAGCATCATTTACCTGGCACCCTCAAGGCATCGGCTGTTGAGGGAAAACAGCTGGATGACTCTAAGGCTCTCAAAATGTGCTCCCTGGACCACCAGCAGGGGCATCACACGAGAAGGTGGTACAAATGTGAATCATCGGGCCCCACCCCAGGGCTGTGGAATCAAAGGTGTTTTAAGAAGCCGTCCATGTGGTTCTGATGCAAGCTAAAATTTGAGAACCACCGCTCTAAATGAAGCACTTTGCACTTTTTTTTTTTTTTTTTTAATTAGCACACTTTTCTCTCCAACAGGGAGTCACTTGACTCCCTCCCTCCCATCTCTGCCCAGGCAGATATGCTGTCAAATGTGCAGTTCCTTCTGACAAACCCAGTCTTTCCAACTGGGCGAGACCTTGCTTTGTAGATTTTATTTGCACACTGACTAAAGCTCTTACAATCTCTCTGACATAGACTGAAGCTCTTGCCAAACCTCGCTGTGGGGAGTGACACCATAAGTAAAGGCCTTCAGCTATCTCATTTTCCTGAGCCAGTTGATTGTGTGCAAAATGCTTTTGTTTGGGGGAAGCGTACCTCGTACAGCTCAACCCAGGGTGCAGTATCGCAGGGCACCTCTACCTGAGTAATGAGTAAATGGAACCAAGTTTCTAGCACATTCCATAGTCCTTTTGGAGAATGATACTCAGTATACACAGGAGGAAAAAGTGATCACCATAGCAGGTATTGCTTGGTCATGGTCATCATTGACAAAATTCTATTGGATATGATTATTTGCTTGTGAAAATTAACGAGAGAAGCATGGTTGGATGCAAATGAGCGATCTGCAGGGTTTTCAGGGGTGGTGCCAAATTTAATTTCCATAGTGCCAGAAAGTACACTAAATACTTTCCCCTTACCGTTGGTTTGCTCAGTGTTTGTTTTGGGCTACACAGTATTTTTATTTTGGAGGATGCCAAAGGAAACTACATGCAGCAGTTCTGTGTCGAGCCAGACCCAGATTGAGAATTTGAGAGGGGAGCTTCTCCATCCATCCCACCTCTTTGCTTAAGGAGGAGCTTAGACTTCCCAAGCTCTTGAACACCAGGAGGAGACACAGAAGCCAAGTGGTGGAAGGACCAAGGGAAGTGGTGAAGGACCAACTCATTCCATGTCCTCCAAGCAAGCTGGATCACCTACCATGTGACATGGGGACGATTTGGGAGGTTGTTAGTTAATATTAGCTGATTTGGTTTCAGAATGGTGTATTTCACTAGATAAGTTTTTAAGTCATCCACCAAACTGTTGACTGCCTTCTGAGAGGAATTATTTTTAGTACATTCTGTATTCAAGGAATTATTGGATGCTGGTAGAAAGGACGTATTTTCTGTGGCTGTGATCAGTAGGCTTGAATTATAAAAGGCAACACAAGATGCCCAGCCAGGAAAGATAGAGCTATGCTCTTAAAGAGTAGTCAGAAGAATTCCAAGTCTTTAAGATGGAACTCAGCTTGCCAGGGTATTTATTAAGCTCCTGGTCCCTGGAGGTCTCCAGTCATGGCCACCTCTACTTTGCCGAGCCCTGACGTCTCAAAACAGGATGGAACTTCTCTGATCCATTCTGCAGATGTGGACCTTGCCCAAGATGGGGTAGGCAGGGTCCTTCTCTGGCGACTTGGGAACAGAGCCAAGTGAGTCAGTCTAGAATGGCCATGAAAGGAGGTCGTGTAAGTTCAGGAGCTGTGGGAAACCTTAAACTTTGAGAAGCTAAGGGACAGATCTGCTGAGGAAGAAGACTAGGGCAGAGATAAGAGGACCCTGGACCTAGAGAGATGAGAATCCCTTACCAGTCACCTTCCAGTAGCTGGTGCCGTTTCCTTCTGAGACCCTACGATTCTGTTGGGTTTCTCGAGAGAACACCACATCTTTGTGAGAATCTGCTTTTTTTTTCCCCTCTGAAATCAAACTAGCTTAAATAACATTCCCCCCTCCCACCCCCACCGCCTTCTTTCTTAGACCTAGGTCATGGGGACCCTCCAGGTTTGGTCTCACTCTGCAAGCTGATAGTGTGGCTCTGCCTCTCAAAATGGAAGAGAGGTCAGGAAAAATCTGGATTGTTCCCTTGGGAGCCTGCAGGCCGGATAATAGACTCACTGCTATGTATTCGTGCTACTGATTGTTATTGAGGGCCAAGTGCTTCGCCTTCACTCTCGTTTGATTGCCACAGTCCTGTGATGAGGATTCTGAGAGGTTCTGGAACTCACTCAGGAACACAGAGATGGGAAGTGACAGAGCCGCGAATGGGGGTTCAGGAACAGCTGGCCCAAGCTGCAAAAGAGGCAGGGAAGATTCCAGCCAGGCTCAGCCTTGGCCAGTGTCAGCGAAGGCTGGGCTCAGGGTGCCAAGTCACAGGGGCTCTCAGGGAAGCCCATGCCCTGGGTGGCAAAGAGGGGTGTGTGAGTCCTGAGGGCAATTCAGGAGACAGCCATTGCACTCAGATTGAACTCCCCTGTCAAGTGTCTCCAGTGATTTCCTTTCCTATTAGCATCTGTCCCTAAGGTTCTGTCACTAGCGTGGGAATGACAAAGGGATGCTGCAGCAAGGCTTTGCTAGAAGCAGTCTGTCAACTTGGGGGTGAGGCCCATTCCCCAAGACACAGGCCTCTGCTTTCCGTCTGCACTTAGCTGCTACAGCGTATGATGCACGGATTCCTCTGAGCATAAAGTGGGGTGCCGGTCTCTGATGGGCCCATGGCCAGCTCCTCATCCCAAACTAACTCATGATCTGGCTTTCATTTCTTCTCAGAGAAAGGGCTGGTAACCTGCTTTCAAAACCCAGAACCCTTCCTTCGCATCCCAGGACGTGGCTCCCTGCCAGGTGCCTCTAGGGAGGGGTTGCAGGGCCCTGTCTTGAGAAAGCCAGCTAGTCTGAGCAGTCTGTTTATGGTTGCCTTTGGGCTCTGCTTAAGACAGTAATACACACACGATGGTGAATGGTTACAATCATGTGTTACGAAAATAAAGGTGGCCTTCGCATTTTTTTTTTTAAGGCCTTGTCATTGCAAAGCGTTTCCCTCCCCCCACCTTTTAAAAAAGTTATGATTTTGTTTCCGGAGATCAAAGTAAACAGAGCTTTTGTAGCTCTTTGCCCCAGCCTTCCCAAAACATGTATTCATGTCCAGGGCTCCCTAAACTCAAGGGAATTAGACCAAGTTTGTGGAGTGGAACAAATATAATGAATTTAGAGCCTCAAGTCTTCTGTCTTCTGTGTCTTGTTGAATGAATGCCTTGTTTCGCAAGAGCTGGTCATGATGGTAAGAGATAGTTGAAAAGAATTTTCCATGATGTCATCTGAGCTTGTGGGATTTTTTTTTTCCCCCTCTCCTGTATAATAGCGTACCTTCTGTTTTGGCCAGTTTTTCCTGACCCTAGTTTTGCATACAGCTGGATAGTAGAATGTCTGTTTTCGTTTCTCAGGCAAAATTAGATGCCTTCCCAAGTCTTTGTTAGAGTTGAGTGAGCCCCAGAAAGTGCAAGAATATGTCCTAACAGCCATAAACAGGAGCATTCTGGGATGTGCAAAACTACTACTCTCAATGACGATTTTTTTAATTACATACTCAGTATCCTAGATGTAGTGACTCTCTTTTCGGACAGATGGGAACTGCTACCTGCCCTTATAAAGCGCTCCAAACCTAGAGGGCTTTTAATGTAGGTGGAGGCTGAGGGACCCAGCAGCTCAGCGAGTGCCAGAGCCTGGCCCTGACTCCAGGGTGAGGCAGGCACTGACACATCCCTTTGACTAGGGAGGCGCGGTGCATGCCGGAGACTCACAGAGAAAATGGTAAAGTTGCTCTGTCTCTCTGTCTCTGTCTGTCTGTCTGTCTGTCTCTCTCTCTCTCTCTCTCTCTCTCGGAGGGGGAGCCTGCAGACAAAGCTCTACCCTCTGGGTTCCCCCGCCTATTTGCCGAATTCTCTTTTTCTGGGAAAGTTTGCTGGCTTTATTTTTCCCTTGCAAGAGAGGGAAAGCCCCAAGATACGGGTGACTCGCCCCACTCTTTCTTCAAGGATGAATTTGTCCGCTTGCAGTGAGAACCGCAGATGCTGTTGAGTTGCAAAGGGTGGAAAGGACAGGAAGTCAAATGTGTGCTGGGATCCTCTTCCCAGGGAGTGGGAATGGCCAAGTGACCCCTGTGCTTTCATCCTGCAGGTTCACCAGTACTACAGCTGTCTCCCAGAAGAGAAGGTTCCTTACGTCAACAGTCCTGGAGAGAAACTTCGAATCAAGCAGCTACTACACCAGCTGCCGCCGCATGACAATGAGGTGAGGGGCTCGCGGGGGCCTTATGAAGACTTGTCTTAGAAGCTTCTGTGAATTGTTACCCTCTTCATAATCAGAATGCTGTGATCGGTGAGGTCTCCGAAGAAAAACTCTGGCCCTTCATTTTAGGATTTAGCTTCCTTTATTAGAGCCAAAAGAAACGGCCCTACACTTTCTGGAGTGTTACCGAGAAGCAGATCTCATTATGGACTGGATTCACCTCTGTGCCTGGCGCTACTAGCCGTTTTGGGGTGTCCAGGGAGCCCTAAAAGTTAAAAGCTCAAGCCCAGGTTTTCCTAGTTGAAGAAGAATGTGCTGGTTGCCTGAGTCCCTTAGCTGATTGCCATTCCCCGGGCCAGTTCAAGGTCAAGCCCTGCAAAAAATGTGATTCTCTGGCATTTTCATGTTAAAGAAGTGTGCAAGTTTTCCACATTATGCTGCAACAGAAGTCACATATCCAGATTTGCAGCTCTGAACGTCTGTGTTTTTGTCCTTGAAAGGCCAACTTGGCAGGGTCCCCATTTGAACACGTGTTAGGATGGCTTGCAGGCTATCCTTCTTTTCCTGAACCTCAATAGAAGACACAGTAATTAGGCGTTTCTTAACTTTGAAGTCAAATTGCTCATAAAGGGCAATCCATGAATACATTTTTAAAAGATCACCCTGCTTGAAGGGCTTAGGTTTGTAAACTAGAAATTAATTTTTAAGTATCTGGTTTTTTAAAAATAGCTATCCTCTAGAATTGAATTGTCCACCTAACTGATTGCATTTTAAACGATTTTAAATTGAAGGGAGAAATAAGCCCTCTAAAAAGCTGGACCCCAGCTCTCTACCGACTGCTCCCACCCGCAAGCCAGATCTCTGGGGAAATTGAGTAGGTGCTATTTTACTCTTTATCTTCCCATATTCAGATCAAAAGGGATAATTCAACAGCCTCAAAAATAAATTTGCGTAAGTGAAGCAAAAGCTTAAAAACTGAAGCAAGTCCCTAGAAAGAGAGCCATGATTTCCTGTCACCCATTTCCGACTTCATAAAACAAATACTAACAATGTTTTCTCCTTTAAACGCGAGAACAAGCACTGTAACCCGATGCCCAGTTAACTAATTTGGACGTGAAAATGCGGGTTTTTACAAGCGGGGGGGGGGAGTGCCTTTCTTTAAAAGCACATCCATAAAATGTCAGTGGTGTAACCATACATTCTGGGCCAGTCAGGTCACAGCGGTGGTGCTTACGGGGACATCCACAGGACGGCTTTCTTTTAACACTTTTTTACTTGATAGAGCAAGGTGATCTGTTCTCTGCTTTTAATGATTTATTCTGTTTACAGTTAACTGTAGTTTTTTTGAAAAGAGACCATTCAAATTCCTTCTTCCTGTTGGAGAGAATTCCTTCCAAGTGACCCAGTGGGCAGATTTCGCCCACTTGAACATGGTCCTTTAGAGGACAAAGAGTGGTTCTAAAGTCAGTAACTGATCTTTCCCTCTTTTGCTCCAATGAAGCAGCTGGTTTTCCAGTTAGGATGCAACAGTTCTGCTCCAAAGATTTCCCACTAAGTGTCATGTAACAAACCATCTGAGCATTTCGCCGAACCTTTCCGCCGTTACTGCAAAGAAAAGACAGGACATGGAATGAGGTCCACGTTTCCCAAAGCCTGACAGACACAGGACTTTGGGTGGTGCAGAGGCGTGGTAGTAAATGAAAGTAAGCCACGTAATAAGAGAATCACTCCCTTTTAAATTGTGCTTCATTCCTCCGGATGGAGTGGTTGAATCAGCCCCAGGGGGCGGGGAGGTGGGATTTCAGTTTGGGCTAGCAGTTTTCTCACACCTCTCCAACTCATACCAGTCTCCACTTTTAAGTAACTGTGTTAAGAATCTCCGTTTCAGGGACGCCTGGGTGGCTCAGTTGGTTAAGCGACTGACTTCGGCTCGGGTCATGATCCTGGAGTCCCTGGATCGAGTCCCGCATCGGGCTCCGGAGCCTGCTTCTCCCTCTGACCCTCCCCCTCTGACCCTCCCCCTTCTTATGTGCTCTCTCTCTCATTCTATCTCTCAAATAAATAAATAAAATCTTAAAAAAAAAAAAAAGAATCTCCGTTTCAGGATCTCCCCTGAGCAGAAGTAGCTAGAATCTAACAACCTGATTTCATTCTCACATTGTTTCGTTTTACGGTCACCTTCTGGTTTTTGTAGGTGGTACTGACTTTTAATTTATAATCATAATATACTTTCTTTTTAAATAAATACTCAAGTTTTAAAAAGTGAGACCATTTTAAAAACAGTATTAATAATAGTTGGAGACTATGGCAGAATTCCCGTGGTATGTGTTAATAAGGGGGAAAGACCAGGAAATGCTGGATTTGAGTGTCCATAGTGTCTGTCCCTTAATGCCATGAGTTTCTGTGTTTATCAAGAAGGCAAATATCTTAACGCAAGTGGATGGATTAGCCAAAGCCCAGTGGGCCACCCTTTCCCTCCTGCACACAGATAAACATGCAGGGACTTCCGTGAAGCAGGGCACATACCTCTGGACCAACTCCTTCGCCTCAAGCCTTTGGCTCCCCATTTTCCCAAAATGAGGCGGGAGAACAGAGGCTGGGAGCCCTCTGACCACTGTTCTGGCTCGCTGGCCTGGAGCCATCCTTTGGTGTCAAGGATCACTCACATGGACACAAGGAGGTGAACGTATCAGGACCCCACAATCCATTTGAAGATCCACATCATTTTTAAAGTAGGAAAAAGTCCCAGATCTTGACTAGCGCCAGAGCTCCCCGACATGATGTGGATCTTCGTGGGGCAGCGGAGCAGATAGTAAGGCTGAGGGACTATTAAAGAACCTTGAGCCTGCTCATGACTTGGGCTCTGCTCATGACTTCGGCGCCTTTAGAGAGCTCTTTTATCTGAGGTAGAGACACGTCCACTAGCCCCAAGCCCACTGGTGGGCCAGTGCAGGCCAGCGCTGTAAAGCTGAGTGGGAGCACATTTAACGAGAAAACTCTGGGACATGGGCTTCAGAAATCCCACGGAGCGAGGGCAACGGCCTCCATGACATTCTCTGTGTCTGTCCAGGTTCGATATTGCAACTCCCTGGATGAGGAGGAGAAGAGGGAGCTGAAGCTCTTCAGCAACCAGAGGAAACGTGAAAACTTGGGTCGAGGGAATGTCAGGCCCTTCCCAGTCACGATGACAGGAGCTATTTGTGAACAGGTGAGCATGGATTCCAGGGAGCGGGGAGGAATTGTGCCGGTGTCCTGTCACGCATTCATTCCTGCAACAGCTGTTTCATAGAGTGCCTACCATGCGCCAGGCACAGTTCTAGCTCTTGGTGATACAGCGGTGAACAAAAAATGTGAAAGCTTTTGATTTGCCCTTGTAAGGAGGTCCATTCTAGGGGAAAAAGTCAAACAATAAAATAAAGAAGAAAAAATACAGCAGGGAAGGAGGCTGCAAGCACTGGGTGTGGGGAGCTTGCAATTTTCAGGAAAGTAGCCGGGCAAGGCACCACTTAGATAGTGGCCTCTGGGGATGACTGGGTGGCTGAGTCGGTTAAGCGTCTGCCTTCAGCTCAGGTCATGATCTCAGGGTCCTGGGATCAAGCCGTGTCGGGAGGGTGGAGGGGGTGGAGTTGGGGGTGTGGTCCCTGCTCAGCAGGGAGTCTGCTTCTCCCTCTTCCTCTGCTTCTCCCTCTCCCTCTGCCCCTCCCCAACTCATGCTCTCTCTCGCTTGCTCTCTCAAACAAATAAATGAAAATCTTAAAAAAAGAAGAAGGTGGCCTCTGAGCAAAGTCTTGCAGGAGCTGAGGGAGTGTGTCCTGCAGATCGCAGAGGGTGGAGGGAACAGGCAGCTCAAAGGCTGGAGACAGAAGCGTTTCTGTTGTGTTCAAGGAACAGCAGGTTGGCCATTGTGGCACAGCAGAGGGAGTGAAGGGAGAGAGGTAGCAGGTGAAGTCCGAGTTCATAGAGGGCCAGTTGTGTAAGCCATTGGAAGGAGATGGGGAGCCATTTGAAGGATTTAAGCACAGGAATGACATGATGGATTTATGTTTTAAAATGAGTCCTTTAGAAAATGGAATTTGCCTGGACCATGGGATCATCCCAGGACCATTTAAAGGGGTGGTAAAGGGTCTTCTCCTTGGGTTTGAGGGGTCTTTAGTGAAATGCATGCACCCCCCCAACCCTGCATTCTCCCCAGGGCCTCACTGAGTTGGGTCTGGGGGTTGTTTTTCCTCCTACTCTCCTGCAGAGTGCTCAGGGCACGGTGGCAGAGGGTTTTAAAGAAAGAAAGGTGGAAATGCAGGCTGCCTGGGTTCTCCCTGCCCCTCCTCTTAGCCACAGAGCCTTCTGGTGCTGATCATCATTTTTGGCACTGCTCTTGGCTGTGCTGCTCTTTGAAAAGCCTCATCCAGTTCCTTAAGCTCTTGAGGAAACCATTCAGGTGCTGAAGATACATGAACTGGCTCAGTGAGGAGAAATCGAGATACTACCTGAGGGGAGTGGGTGCCATTTGGTGGCCCTTTTTTGATTTCAAAGGCATGGGGTGAGAAGGTTCAGGTGGGTGGAATGGAGATGCTACTTCATAGGGGAACCACAGGACCAGAGACTGGGCAGTGGAATCTTCACCCTTGATACTCACTCTTGAGATGCAGGTGGTCAGTGGTTAAGATGTGAGATTCAGGAAAAGAAAAAAGGAGGGGGGCGCCTGGGTGTCACAGTTGGTTGGGCAACTGATTCTTGATTTCAGCCCAGGTCAGGATCTCAGGGTCTTGGGACTGAGCCCTGCATCAAGCTCTGCACTCAGTGGGATTCTGCTTGAGGATTGTCTCTCCCTCTGCCTCTGTCCCTCATCCGCCCACACTCTCTCTCTCTCTCAAAATAAATAAATAAATCCTTAAAAAAAACGGCGTCTGGGTGGCTCAGTCGGTTAAGCGTCCACTTCTTGGTTTCAGCTCAGACGTGATATCGGGGTAGGGAGATCGAGCCCTGCGTTGGGCTCCCTGCTCAGTGCGGAACCTGCTTGAGTTTCTCCCTTTGCGTCTGTCCCTACTCCACCACCCCTCTCTCTCTCTCTAAAATAAATAAATAAATACTTTTAAAAATGCTAACAACAGTTTAAAAAAGAAATAAAAAGAAAAGTTGTGAGATTCGGTGTCCTTGCATCAGGAATTCTGTCCCCTGAGATCCGTCTCCTGGAACCAGCCCAGCTGCACTCTTTTAAGGAAAAAGGAAGGGTGGACATTTCATGAGCGGGTGTCAAAAGTTGTGTAGAATAGTGACAGAAGCACGGAGGCAGAGAAGTTTGACTCATGTTTCTGCCAGATGACCTTGACCATGTTATTTTTCCTCCATTTTGTCATCGGCAAAATGTAGGTGACAAATGCCTACATCATGGAATTAAGGTGGGGATTGCCTGGGATTCCATACTGTTAAAGCAATCGAACAAGGAGGCCATTACACTGAGATGTCTCTGACAGCTTTATAACCTATGTGAGCAAACCAGAACCTAAGCCAAGCGCAGTGTCTTAGTATTGAGAAAATGACACTTAAGACCAGCCAATTGCCAATAGGCAGCTAGGCTTTCTCAAATTAAGGCAACCACTTAAGCTACAGCCGGTCAATTAATTTCCTTGCTTTGCATCCCTGTCTTCTCTATAAGCACCTCCCTCCTCGCTCCAGGTAGGTGGAGCCCTCCTAACCACCTTCAGTTGGGTGCTGCCCAACTTAAATCTGTATTTGCTCAAATAAACCCTTGAAATTTTTAATGTGCTTCCGTTTTATCTGTTATCACTGTGTCTATCCCAGGTCTACTAATGTTATAAAAGGCAAGGATACTACTTTCTGCAACAGTATTTTTCTTTTGTCTGGTCACTACCTTAATGAGCTCCCAGAGACTGTTCCATGAGACCTTTACTTCATTTCCTATGAAACGTTTAATCCCGTATGATGGCCATGGTGTGGGAAAGGTTTAGAGGTATCTTTTCTACTCTTTAGACATTGTCCCCAGAGCCAGCCACTCACTTAGGGCCATGGAACTAGATCCTCAGCCTGTGAACCTCATGGCCAATGCCATGGTCAGCAGAGAGCCTTTCCCAGGACCCACCACCCTCACACTTTACTCCTCCCTCAGAGGCCCAGCCTTAGCCATAACATGGGTTATCAGAGATGCTGCCTTGTTCTTTCTGCATTGGGAAAGGAACTTTGGAACATGAGCGAGAAGATAGGAAAGGGGGAGAGAAGCCCTTTCCATGGTGTGGCCTTAGAAGTGGTACCTTTTCAGTCAAGACTAGGTAAAAAGATGTTAGAGAAAGCAGACTGAAAACATGCCTGAAAGGCTTTGGAGAAATCATTAAAGTACTTTTATGAACCCACTCCCTCTCCTATCTTTTTTTTTTTTTTTTTTAAGATTTTATCCTATTTATTTAACAGAGAGAGAGGGAACACAAGCAGGGGGAGTAGCCGGCACAGGGAGAGGGAGAAGCAGGCTCCCCGCCGGATGTGGAAGTCAATCCCAGGACCCTGGGATCATGACCTGAGCCAAAAGCAGACGCTTAACTGACTGAGCCACCCAGGCGCCCCTCCCTCTCCCATGGTACAGCTCCCCTAATGCACCCCTCCTACCCCCTTCTCCTTGTGGTGTTACACTCAGCTGTGCCTCCCGATGGAGTTGGGAGCTTCTAGAAGATACGGACACCTTCACCACGGGTCAGCTTGCCACCTGCCTGTAGAGCTTCTGCCAAAGGAGCTTTTCTGTCTTTCCCACCTTGTGAGTCCTGATTTCCTCAGTGACTTTAGCTTTGTCTTCCTTGGAAGGAAAGAAGAGTGGGAGGGCAGGCAAGCAAAACCCGCCCTGCCGTGTATGTAAAGCAGGTAGCACAGTGACTAGCTTGAAAACAAGTGCACAGCCACCCACCCTTGGTGGGAGTGGTGGGCTTTTATCCGGTCGGCTGGGCTCGCCCCCCGCCCCCGACAAACAGAGACGGGCTGGTGTTTGTTCTGACGTGTCTGTTTGCCTCGCAGTGCGGAGGCCAGATTAATGGCGGGGACATCGCCGTGTTTGCGTCCCGTGCGGGCCACGGCGTTTGCTGGCACCCGCCGTGCTTCATCTGCACCGTCTGCAACGAACTGCTGGTGGATCTGATCTACTTTTACCAAGATGGGAAGATATACTGTGGCCGGCACCACGCCGAGTGCCTGAAGCCGCGCTGCGCAGCCTGTGACGAGGTCAGAGCATGCTGCCCTGCCCCGGCGTGGGGCGGGGGGGGGGCACCCATCACCCCTCCGTCCGCCCCGCCCATCGCCCCTCCGTCCGACCATAGGCCACACTTTGTCCCGTGCTCTTTTGCACAGAAGAAAACCAGAGGCCGCTCCACCTTCTTGCCTTAGGCCTCGCAGGAGAAGCCCCACCCCTCCCTGGTGGCTAGCAGGTCGCCATCTCCTGGGCATCCAGGTCGGAAGGCAGAGACTTCTGTAGCTGAGAGTCGCCGGCACTAGGGCAGTCCCGAACTCTCAAAGAAGCATTGTGCAGTTTTCGATTTCAGCCTGGGTCCCGGGGAGTAATCATCAGTAATGGTGTGGCACTTAAGTCTTAAAAGAGTTGGGATTCCTGAACTTCAGTGGGACACGTTGGTTTGAGAAGAGGGACATTTGGTGGCACTATTTCGTTTCCCTGTAACTGACAAAAGTTCTGATGGAGATTCAGGAGGCAGGTGCATACTCCCTTAGGAGAGTCTTGTCCCACGCCCTGAGAGGTACTTGAATTGGCTACCCCAGGTCAGAAAGCGGACTAGAGCACCAAGCCTGTGCCTGGTGTTTTCTCCCACCACAGGCACACCCAAATCTGATCTGTAAACTGCAAGAAGAGAAAATCTGCTTTGGCTTCAAAAGTTTGGAGCTTATATTTCTATAAAAAGTTTAAAAAAAAAGTTGGGAGGAGAAAAGAGAATATTCTAAACATGACCACTTTTATGGGACTAATTTGGGAAAGATCTTGGATAGGGGTTTCCTCCTGCACAGAGTGGATTTCTGGTTCCATCTCACCCTGCAAACAGCAGTGTGAGCTTCTGCAAGCACCACTCCCCTTTTCAGCCCCAGCCCACTCCTGCCTGCCTAGGAGGGGTTCACTTTTCCTAGGAGGAAGCTGACCAGCCTTAACTAATTTGGATTCTAATGCTGATGGTGATGTTCTGGAGAGACCCTCTAGATGGGTATTTGGGAAACTGAATTCAGTTCCACCTGAATTCAGGCAGCCGCTTTACCTTCATGCCTCAGTTTCCACTTCTGGAAATTAGTGCTCCTAATACCTTATTGTTATCTAATGGCAAATAGAATATGATCATTGGGGTTTTTGAAATTTTTGTTTATTGAGATGTAATTCACCTAGCATAAGGTTCACCCTTCTCAGGTGTCCAGTTTGGTGGGTTTTAGTATATTCATAAAGTTGTGCAACTCTCCCTGCTGTCTAATCCCGGACATTTTCATCACCCAAAAAAGAAACTTCGTATCTATTAGCAGTCCCTTCCCTTCTCCCCCTCCCCCCTGCCCTCCTTCTGTCCCTAGCAGCCACTAATCTATTCTCTGTTTCTATGCATTTACATATTCTGGACATTTCACATAAATGGAATCAGTGTGTGATCTTTTGTGAACGTGATCTTTCACCTGGTGTAATGTTTTCAGGGTGAATCCGCGCTGTAGCTTTTCGGCACATTATTCCTTCCCAAGGCTGAATAATACTCAGTTCGTGTGTATAGGTTATGTTAGGTAGAGCCATTTGTCAGTTGATGGACATTTAAGTTCTTTCCACTTTTTGAGTATTATGATCAATGCTGCTATGAACATTCATATGCAGGTTTTTGTGTGGACATATATTTTTCCGTTTTCTTGAGTATGTACGTGGGAGTGGAATTGCTGGGTCACAGGGTAATTCTGTGTCCAAGTTTTTGAGGGAATGCAGACTTTCTTTCAGAGAAGCTATGGCATTTTACGTTCCCACTCTCAGTGAAGGAGGTTCTAGTTTCTCTACATCCTCAACACTACTTTTCATTAGTCATCTTAGTGGGTGCAAATGATATCACATTAGGGTTTTGATATGTCTGTCCTTAATGGGTAATGATGTTGAGCATCTTTCCATGTGTTTATTGGCTATTTGTCTATCTTCTTCTTTGGAGAACTGTATATTCAAATCCTCTGCCTGTTTTTTTTGTTTGTTTGTTTTTTTAAATTGAGTGATTTTTCTTTTTATTGTGGAGTTGCTTGTATATTCTGGATACTAGTTCCTTATCAGATACATGCTTTGCACCAATTTTCTCCCATTTTGTGGTTACATTTTCACTTTCTTGATGTCCTCTAAAGCACAGAAGTGTTTAATTCCGATGAAGTCCAATTTATCTGATTTTTTTTCCTTTTGTTGTTTACACTTGCAATGTCCTAGCGGCGAAACCATTGCCTAATCCAGGTCCTGAAAATTTACACTTGTGTTTTCTTTTAAGCATTTTATAGTATGTAGCTCCTTTGGTCTCTGATCTCTTTTGAATGAATTTTTGTATACGGCTCGGATTCATTCTTTTGCATGTGGTTATCCAGCTGTCCCAGCCACATTTGTTGAAAAGACCGTTCTTTCCCCATTGAATGTCCTTGGCATCTTTGTGGATAATCAATTGGCCATAACTGTTTGGGTTTGTTTCTGGACTTTCCATTCTCTTCTATTGATCTATACGTCTGTTTTTATACCAGTACCACACCGCCCTGATTACTGTGGTTTGTAGTCAGCTTTAAAGTCTGTGCTTTGAAATTTTAAAAAAAGTCTGCATTAGAGGTCAAAACACAAATGCTTCTGAGGGCAAGGCAGGTTTTGTACACGAAGGTGACTCATTTTAAGACAGCAGTGAGTGGTGAAAAATATGACCGAACTGGAGAACTCACCACTCATCTAGCAGTTCTCCTTCTCAAATACTATGTTTTCAACAAAGAAACCAGGAGTCTAGGTGTTAAAATGACATAGAAAGATGTTGCATCAGCCAAATAAGACATGTATGTGTTGTCCAAAGTGCCCACAAACCATCAGTGTCTGGTCTTGCTTTATATTCTTCAGGGTAGACCTTTATTTCTCTTATTAAAATGTGGTTCAATTAATATCTGGGCAGGCCAAAAACTGGTTAATTGTGCTCTAGGCAAATCCCAGTGTGCTAACTGATATCAATATAGAATATGCAAATACAGATAGATTTTTTTATTGGGTAATTTGTTGGAAAGACCTGCTTTCCCATCCTTCTAATTTGGGGTCACCATAGCTCTTCTCTGGTAAAGTGCATTCTCCTGGCTGGGTCTTAACCACTGATCCTTTGGCTTCCCCATCTCTAGATCATCTTTGCAGACGAATGCACAGAAGCTGAGGGACGGCACTGGCACATGAAACACTTTTGCTGCTTCGAGTGCGAGACGGTGCTTGGCGGCCAGCGCTACATCATGAAGGAGGGAAGGCCCTACTGTTGCCGCTGCTTTGAGTCCTTGTATGCAGAATATTGCGACACCTGTGCCCAACACATAGGTGAGGCAACACTTGGTACTCAGCTCGGTCCTACTATGACTGGGTCTCCTTGGCGTCTGGTGTAGTTAGAAGCCCTTTAGCTCTCAGCTCCTACTGGCTTAAGCGAAAAAAGGGACTTTCTTGGCTCACTTTACTGGAAAGGTCAAGGGTGTGCTTGCTTCAGGTAGGGATGGCTCAAGGGTTCAAAGTCTGGAGGGTTTTCTATCCTTCGTGTCTCAGCACTGCTTGCCTTCTGTTGGCATCGGTAAAAAGCAAGCTGCCTTCACATGCTGGCTAAGAGGACTCCCCAGTTATACATAATCTTAGCACTCGCATTCTTGAAAGGAGTGAGGCCACGTCTGTTCTAGTATCCAAATCAGTTCCTCCAAAATAGGAACCTTATCATTCCTGGTTTGGTCACGTGTGCCACCCTGGAAACAAGACAAGAGGGTATTTCGGTTGGCCTGCCTGAGTCATAGGCCCACCCCTGAGATGGGGTTATGGGATGTACAGCCCCACTACCAAGGGGAGGGGGAGAGGTCCCAGAAGGAAACTCTGAGGGAAAATGTAAACAGATGTCTTCCACAGCCTCCTTGGAAAACTTGAGGATCTACAGAGGGCGGAACCGGGATAGTCCTCTTGGTAGGAAGGGGTTGTCAAGAAAACCAAATGGTTTCTGGCAAGCATGTCTTTAAAAAAAAAAAAAAAAATTCAGCAAAAGCTGACCCAGCCAAATACAAAGCAAGAGAACCTGAAGTAGCTTATAAGCTATAAATTCCCCAAGGTGCAGCAGATCTGAGATGGTGGAAATCATTTTCCCTTCGCAAATAACCGATTTGTTCAACCCTTCAACACTCTTCCAGATCATGCTGCATCTGTGGCTTCTTCATTCAGCTCGCCTGTTCTGGCACCTTCAGAATGAGCCACCCTTTAAAAAGGAAAAGAAAGAGCTAGCAGGGGATGAATGTCTGGGAGACCAGCAGCCTGCTCTTCCTGTGGCTTGTGCACGTCCAAGAAATCTGCTCAGAAGCTGCCAGCTTCTTACCTCTAGTGGGGAGATGTGGAGATAATCAGCCCAAAATGGGAGCCCATTTTGCCCCATGTCAAGGATTTTGTCAGGAACCAAAAGAAGTGACTTTGTCTCCCTGCTTCATCAGAAATGATCTTTTATTCAAATAAAAACCTACCTAGTACTTTGGAGAGCTTTGGGAGCTGGTAAAAAAAAAAAATCACAGCTTTGCAGACAAGGCACCTACTGTGTGCTCAGTGGTCCTTTGTTGTTGGGCAGTCTGTCCCCGCAGACTCAGATCTGCTTCCATGAGGCCTTTCGGAGCTGGAGTCCCTGCCGGGCCTGGGGTTCAGCATTGCTATGCAGCAGTATTATCCAGTGGTATTCCCTGCTGGAGGGCCTGGGTGATGTGCCCATCCACCTTCCCCTAACCCCTGACTGGCTTCCCCCTCTCACGGCCTGATGCCTCAACCAGGGACCCACCCGTTTTCATTTCTCACAAGATCAAAACGGAAACAGACTTGCTTTGATGCTAAGAGTTAGGAAATGGGGACCTCGATTTGGACAGGTGGCTGGCCACATGAGGAGGGACAGGGTGGGCTGTGTCGGGGAGAAGATGGTGCAGCTTTCAGAGCCAGCTCTGCTGTTCGTGGATTCTGGGTCTGCCAGTAGGCGGTGAGGGTATGGCCAGCTCACCTGCCGCCAGGACACCCGCTTCTCGCAAGTGTTGCTGTTTCTTCTGTCCTTTTCCATTGGGGCTTCAAAGCCTCTCCAGAAACTGCCACTTAGAATGTTTGCTCAGCAACTTGGAAGAGAGAAAATCTGTCTGTCACCACAGCAGGTCCACCTCAGAAGCCCCCTCTGTTTTCTTCTCTTTCTCTCTCCTTCTAGCTATTTCAGTACTTTGACAGGCACTGCCTTCTCCTCCCTGTTAAATCCAGAAAAAGGCATCAGCGTTTTACCAGAGAGGGAGACCTCTGTGGCCTGCAGTATTATCACTGCTGCAGTTAAAATGTGGTCCCTGATTTTTTTTTTTCCCTTCCCCTACTTTTCTGTGAAACCTCATTTTCCTGCAACGGTGAAAGGGTATGCTCTGTCTGTCCTGCATACCACCATCTCCTGGTGCTTTGCTCTGACCCTATTATACAAATATTCCGTATTTATACAGCCACTCAGAGCGGACCCTGCATCAGGCAGCCGTCGCTAGGGCAACGGTGCTTTTGCCCGCGCACAGCAGAGTAGACAGTCCTGTAAACAGACCGAGGCTAGAGCAGCACTCAACACACACACACGCCCTCCAAGAAGGGCTTACAGGGCTCAGAGGGGGGAATTAAAAAGGAACGCTTAGATGTGGAACAGCAGAGCCCTTTTCCAGATGTTTTGAGTTCAGGACCAGTTCAGAGGACCATCTGACATCAGGGATGTTGATCAGGGACCACACTGCACTGCCTGCTGGGCCGTTTTGTCACCCGCCTCCCCTCTGCTGACCCGACCCCCAGCCCGGCCCTCTGCAAGGCCCCGTCCCCAGAACTGGGCCCCTGCTGCCACGTCAGAGCATGCGTCCTTGCAGAAGCTCGGAGAGGCAGCTGGGGAAGGACAAATACGGGAACCGGGCTTCCTGCGTGCCTCTGACAGGGAGCCGGTGAGCCTGCGGCTGCCTGGGATGCGGGGCAGCTGGGGGTGAGCACAGCCCTCTTCAGGGGAGGGCAGGGAAGACGGAGCCAGCCCCAGAGCTCGCTCTTGGACTGCATCCAGGCAGTGGCCCTCAGACCAGAGAGGGAGATGGGCAATCAAGGCGTAACGAAACTAGGAGAAGCAGAGCAGTGAGAGTAGTTAGCAGATACAGGTCTAGGCACCCTCTGCACGTTAACTCACAACAACCCTGTGAAGTCAGAACTGTTATTATCCCTGTTTTACTGCAGAGGGGACTGAGGCACAGAGAGATGAAGCCACTTGCTTAGGGTCACACAGCCGCAGAGCCGGGATTGGAACCTCAGCAGATGGGCTTCAGCAGCTCCATCACAACCTGCTGGAATGGGATGCAGCTGGGATGCAAAGCTCCCTTCATCTGACTCCTCCTCACTGACTCCTGAAGCCCCACTGTGCAGGACTCCAGAGTTCGGCCTCCCGCACTGCTGCCCTGCTTCCTGCCGGGAGCCTGGGGACCAAGTGTGGATGGAGCCGCAGCTCTGGGTCCCGTCCCTAGCCCTGCCCCGCCAGCTCCCACTCCTCCCAGGAATGCCCTGTTGACAGGGAGTGCATTTCCACAGTGACCGCTTTGCCTTCGCTTTGCCTTTGTGGCAGCTTCCGTCCCTCTAAAACTCCCTTCTTAGTCCCTGGGGCCAGACTCCCAAAGAAACAGAGATCCCTTAGTTTGGGGCGGAGCTCGTAGGAGAGGAAGTGCCTTGTGCTTCTCTCTCTCTCCCTGGGCTCCAGGGACCTAAAGGTAGGCGGCAGAGAGCACAGGAGGCCGGGACAGCTGCTTTGCCTTTTGCCCTTTGTTCTTGCCCTTCCCTTTAGACATCGTTCTCCAGTTTCTTATTTACCACCTCTCCAGACAGGGCTCTCAGAGTGATTCCTGGAAGGTCCAGGCTCCAGACTGCTAGCTACTAAAGGTGGAGGTTCACACTAGTACTACATTTCTGCAAAGATTTTTATTATACCCAGAAATCAGGAGTCTTGCGAAGGTCACCTTCCATTCTGCAGTACTTGCATGAGACTGCATAGCCCACAGGCTCTCCCCAATGCATCCAGACTTCCATCCTGCCGGCATAGCAGCTGCTGTCAAGAGAACCTCCCTACGTCACTATCTTTGCGACAGTCCCAGGTGACTCTCCCATTGGACTAGTGCAGGTCTTGCGCCCACGTCTGAAGCAGCCACTAGGGTGGGAGATACAGTTTTTTTTACTAGCCAGTAGTAGGTCCAGGCATGGCTTTAGCCCTGCCCAAAGCTCATGGCCCAAGGGTGGCAAGAAGGTGGTGTCCCTAGGGGCTCCTGGGTGGCTCAGTCGGTTAAGCGGCTGCCTTCGGCTCAGGTCATGATCCCAGGGTTCTGGGATCGAGCCCCGCATGGGGCTCCCCGCTCAGCGAGAGCCTGCTTCTCCCTCTCCCTCGGCCTGCCACTCTGCTTACTTGTGTGCTCTCTCTCTCTGTCAAATAAATAAAATATTTTTAAAAAACCAAAAAGGTGGTGTCCCACAGGGAGATTAAGTCCTAGAACCAGCAGGGGGCAGAAGAGATGCTGAGAAGCAAGAGCACTTGGGCCCCTGGGAGGTTCCTGCAGAGCAGGTATGTAACAAGATTATGCAAACCAGGGACAGCCCTTGCTTGGGGAGGGAATGTGTTTCTTCCTTTCCTGATGACATTAAGCAAAGGGTGTGCGTGCTTGTGGAGGATGTCTTTGATGAACCACACCCGAGTTTTTCCTTACCAAGTGTTGAAATCCACTTTTTTCTTTTCCACTAAACTGTTACAGTGATTTCTTCATCTGAATGGCCTGTGCTGGTAGGGGATTCCGGTCATCCATTCACCATATAAAGAGCCCCTCTGATGCATCAGGCCATGTCCCTGGACATGCTACAGAAAATTAATGACTCTGTTGTTCTAGAGCTTTACTTCTGGCAGGGGAGAGAATTAATAAGCAGATGCACATGTGTGGTGGTGCATTGTCAAACAGTGTTCGTGCTGTGAAGAAAACCATAGCAGGTCAGGGTGAAGAATAGTGGAGAGCATGCTACCAGGTGTGCAGGAAGACTTCTCCAAGGAGTTGGCATTTGAGCAGACGCCCAAGGAGAGTGAAAGAGAAAGTGTCAGTGTCTTGGTTAGGAGCAAGACTTCCGGGTACAGATCTCACCTGTGATTCCTGGTTGTATCGAGTGAGGCAAGTTATTTAACCCTCCTGTACCTCTGTTTTCCCATCTGAGAAATGGAAATAATATTAGAAACCTACCTCATGCAGTGGAGGGGTTAAATGACTTTACCTATATGCAAAGCATTTAAAGCAGTTTTATATCATGTGTTAGTAGCATTATTATAATTTTGTCTGGGAGAATCTATTCCAGGCAGAAGGATTCATGGACAGGCCACATTGATCTAGTTTTTTCTCTGCTCAGAGCAAATGAGTTAAGAAGCAGCTGACTGGTAGAACAAGGGGGCTCTCATAATGGGACATGAATACCATTTATGTGAGGTTCTGATTAGTGACTTACTGTTATTTTATTCTGTTGTATCTGGAACCCTGAGCTAAACCAGGATGCTGTGTGTTTCACATCATAACACAGGACTCTGAGCAGCTTGTCAGCCTCTTCCATGTCTTTTCCATCCCCAGGGATCGACCAAGGTCAGATGACCTACGACGGCCAACACTGGCATGCCACCGAAACCTGTTTCTGCTGTGCTCACTGCAAGAAATCCCTTCTGGGGCGGCCATTCCTCCCAAAGCAGGGCCAGATATTCTGCTCACGGGCCTGCAGTGCCGGGGAGGACCCCAATGGCTCTGACTCATCCGATTCGGCTTTCCAGAACGCCAGGGCCAAGGAGTCCCGGCGCAGTGCCAAAATCGGCAAGAACAAGGGCAAGACGGAGGAGCCCATGCTAAACCAGCACAGCCAGCTGCAGGTGAGTTCCAACCGGTTGTCGGCCGATGTGGACCCCCTGTCACTGCAGATGGACCTGCTCAGCCTGTCCAGCCAGACGCCCAGCCTCAACCGGGACCCCATTTGGCGGAGCCGGGACGAGCCCTACCATTATGGGAACAAGATGGAGCAGAACCAGTCCCAGAGTCCCCTGCAGCTTCTCAGCCAGTGCAACATCAGAACTTCCTACAGTCCGGGAGGGCAGGGGGCCGGGGCCCAGCCTGACATGTGGGCGAAGCACTTCAGCAACCCCAAAAGGAGCTCATCCCTGGCCATGAAGGGGCACGGTGGCAGCTTCATGAAGGAATGCCGCGAGGACTATTACCCGGGAAGGCTGAGGTCCCAGGAGAGCTACAGCGAAATGTCCAGTCAGAGCTTTAGTGAAACCCGAGGCAACATCCCAGTCGCCAAATACGAGGAGGAGGAGGAGGAGGAGGAGGAGGAAGGGGGCATATCCACTCAGCAGTGTCGGACCCGCCATCCAATCAGTTCCCTGAAATATACCGAGGACATGACGCCCACAGAGCAGACCCCTCCAGGCTCCATGGAATCACTGGCCCTGTCCAATGCAACAGGTAGGTTCTGGTCACCTAGAAAATAGAAAGCAAGAGGCAATAGTCTCTGAGTGACCTGAAGCTTGTCTTCAGGACTTTCATGTTGTTCCTGCCATGTGCCTTCCTCCAGAAGGTCGTTCGGGAGGGGAACCCCAGTTTCAGATGGCTTCTGTCTTTGCTCGTGTTCCCTATAAGTAGGGCCTGGGACAGGTTGAGGGCGGGCTCCCAGGGAAGGGGATGAGAGAGACAGGCCAGGGTTGGGGGAGGAGCCAAGCAGAGAGTGCTATCTGGGCTGGCATCTAACTTCAGCCTGACCCCACAGGGGGTTCTGGAGGATGGGTTGCATCGTACAGTTGGCTCCCTCTTGCGACAAAGGGGCTGACGTCCCGCACACCATGTCTGCCAGCCACCGGCTTTGGGCTGCTAGAGACCAGCTCCGGGATGAGGTTGTGGATGGGGGCAGGGGGCATGGCAGGTACTGCTGGCCAAGGAAAACATTCAGGAGAAGAGGCAGCTGTGAGCTGGAGACAGTACTGACAACACCGGGTGGTGCTTGAGACCCCACAGCACCCATGACAGCTTCCAAGGCTGTTCCGAATCCCAGTGTCTCATTAGGGAGATCATTTTAATGTACAGATCGAGACCAAAGAAATGTGGATAGACAGGAGAAGACAGGCAGGCTGAAAAGGAGCGAAGGGGGAAGAGAAAGACCATCCAAGGCCTGCTTTCTCCAGACAAATGGTCCGGCCCATTTGCCTGTGAGGACTGATGTGGAAGTTCTCTAAGATGGCGCTACACAACGTGTAGTCTGCACATGGAAGCTAGCCGCAGCCTGCAGTGAGAGAAGTACTAAAAATGACAGTGTTTAGGAACTCTTGGAACAGTTTGACCTTGCCATGACGTCCGAGTGCATGCTCGGCGGGCTCGTCCTTCCTGGTCCAAGTACGGACCAGTCAGGGTGTCGTGCAACCCACGAATGAGTTGTGTGTGGCATGTGCTGTGTGTCAGTCATGCTCAGGAGGGTCACATATCCTTCCACGGTGGATTGAGAATAAAAAACGGGTCCTTCACCATGGACAGCTGAGAAGTACTGTCCTGAGATGCACTTCCCTTATGGGCGGAGCACGTGAGGAGGGAGACGCACGTCTACCCCTTACATCAGGGACCCCAGAGTCCAGTGGGTCTCGGTGGAGCTTGTCATAAACTTGTGCATATCAGCCCCTGCTCAGCCGCTGCTCAGCCCCAGCTGGTTGTTGCCGTGTGCAAAGATATTTATTCATCTAGCAGCTATGTAGCTCTTACCCCGTGCCAAATTTGGTCCTACGCACTTTATAAATATTAACTCACTTAATTAAACCCTCCCAGTCCTAGAAAATGGATAGCCTATTAAGAGTCTCATTTTAGAGTTGAAGAAACGAAGCACAGAGAAGTTGAAGGCTTTGCCCCAAGTCACCCAGCTTTTAAAAGATGGGGTGGGGATTTGAATATGTGCCTACGACCCCGGAGCAGTGCTCTTAATCATACCAGGTTGCCAGTAGTTCGGTTCCTCCAGACAAGTTAAACGTGGATTTTTAAAATGTGAAGTCTATGTAAACTCTGCTAGACAAGCAAAACATGTCTCTAAGTCATAGGGTGTCTCTACAGGGGGGTTTTAACCCTTATCCCTCCCAAACAAGTTCACGTCTGTGTTCTCGTTTGTCCTTGGGGACAAATAGCAGGTGTCTTTACCCTCATGTTTCCGATGAAACAAAAATGAGGCCTCAGTGACTAAGCACCTTACCTCATGTCATAGAAGCGAGCAATTGGTGCCGAGTGATGACTGCCTGGCTTTCAGCCCAGTTTGTGCTATTCTCGAAAACTTTATATGCTATAATTATTCAAGAGGCCAGGAGATAAATAGGTACTTCAGCCTCTGAAGCAGCATTTCTCGAAGCTAGACCCCCTGCATTCGACATTGCCTGCTTGATTCAAACATGGAATCCAGGACGTCCCCCGAGACCTCCTGCATCAGACCCTATGGAGGGGGGACCCAGGAAGCTACATTTTAACCAGCTCCCTGCTGATGGTGATGCAGCCACTGTCTGAGAACAGCTGTTCCTGGGCTTGTCTGTTTTAACTTTATTGTCCTCATGCGGTGACTTAGGAGAAAATCAGGAGATCTGGGTGTTGGGAAATACTAGAAAGGCCGCGTGATTATGTTTGAAGAATATACCATCTCGGATCCCAAAGAAGAGGCATGGGATTTATCCCTATGATTTTCTCTGGGCCCTTGGGCAAAACACCAAATGCCCCCCTCTGTCTCAGATTTGGGGGAAGCATCCCGGAACCGTGTCTGATACTGCTAAAAAAAATGCCTGAGATCAGCACTGCCCAGTGAAGCCAGTAGCCACATGTGACTGTTGAAATTTCGATTCATGAAAATTAAGTGAAATTAAAATTTCAGGCCATCAACTGCACCAGCCCCCTTTCAAGTGCTCAAAAGCACTAAGCAGAATTTGAAATTACATTTAATTTCACTAGCCACATGTAGCTAGCGGCCGCCCTGTTGGGCAGCCCAGATGGCGAGAGGGAGCTGGTAGGATGACCCCAATTTTAACCCCATCATTAGTCTCTGTGGAAATTCTCCCATGAGCCCCAGTTTTTCAGATTGTCAATTAATGGCTTGGAGTCCCAGTTCAAATCCAGCCTTTGTCGTGTCGGAGCTGGGTGGCCTTGAACAAATGCTTACATTCTGTAAGGCTCAGTTACCTCATCTATGGAATTTAGTGAATAACAGTACTTCCTTCGTAGTGTTTTGGGGAGGAGTATATGATAATGCATGAAAACTCATTAATATAGTCTTCGACGCAGAGGACCTTCTATAATGGTTACCTGATACTTGTTGTTATGATTGCATTTTTATCATGCTTGCATCTTATCCCAAGCATACTGGTGCGTAGCTTTGGCCTCCAGGAATGTTTTGGCTACTGACATCTCCCAGCGTCCACCAGCTGTGCAGGTTTGCATTTTTAGGTTTGCAGATGTTCCCGTGGGACCCTCTTTTTTTTTTTAACCAGCATGCGAAGGGCATGAGAAACAGGGAGCTGAAGAAATGCATTCTGCGCCCCTGTGTTTCCATAGATCTGTCAGGCACAGCTGTGTGGAAGAAAGATTGCAGCTCATACTCAAAGCACTGCTTCATCCTTGGTCACTGGAGCAAACCTTAAATAGCTTTCCAGATCCTACGCTGCACACACACACACACACACACACGCACGCACGCACCCCAAAGACGTCGTATTGACTACACTTGGAAAGTCGGTCGTTTTGCTGCCAACCCCCACTGTTGCATTTAAATTTTGCTAGAAAATTCCCTCATCTTTTGAGAAGGCAGTGCTCAGAACTGTGTGTCTTTAAATCCTGGAATCCTAGTCTGTGCGTAACAAGTATGTGTCATAGAAGGCTTAGTCAAAACACCTTGATCCTTAGGTGAAAGCTAGTCTTCACGATAATGGATTTTTTTTTCTTCCGTAGTCAATAATTCACATTATTGAATAAGTTTGTAGTGTTTAAACTGGCATAAAGCATGATCTTTCTGTAGGCAGCATTTTTCCTTTGAACAGATCTGGAGAAACAGCCCCAGTTGACTTGCTAGCCTTTGATCTGGGCTTTGGCACCTCCTGGTTTGTTTAGAACTGGGAGCATACTGCCCCTTTTCCCTGGAAAACACCGGCCATCCGTTATGCTCACGCAGAGTGAGTCAGGCAAGCACAGTCACTCACCATTGACACAAGCACCGTTGGAGCCTTGCAGAAGCTCTCGAACTCTCCATTGCCTAAACGTGCTTGCAGAGCAGCTTGCAGCCTGGGTGATCACAGGATTGCAGATAGTAATAACAACAGCGGCAACAGGCATTATGGGGTGTTGGTCACGTACTAGGTACAGTAATAAGGGCTTTGTGTGAACTAGCTCACCATATCTCTATGAGGTAGACACCGTTGTTATTCCCATTTTATGGACGACTTCAGTGAGACACAGAGAGGCTACGTAGCTCAAGACCACACGGCTTGGAAATGGAGGAGCAGGATTCAGATGCACGCATTCTAGCTCCAGGCCTGTGCCCTTAACCCCCGTGCCATGGCACACGTGGATGGTGATGCTAGTAGTAATGGGCGACAACTGTTAAGACCACAGACTGTGGTCTGACATGATGGTGATGTCACATGTAACATCTCTCCAAATCCTCGTAACAGCCTCGTAAGATAAGTCTGATTCTTTTCCCTGTTTTACAGATTAGTAGACTCAAGTCCAAGGGGGTTATGACCTCCCCATGGTCACCACTGACAACCAGGACCTGAACCTGGGTGTGATAATCTGCAAGGCCCTTACTCTCAACCACCTTGGTATAATCCCCACAGGAAGGGTCATGGTCACAGTCGGGATTTGCACAGTGACTCCATCTGAAGGGACCAGGATTTCTTTTTCTGTCGCAGCCAGTCTGCTGATGTCCGTCTGGCCCTGGCAGGGCTGGAGCAAAGCTGGAGAGCATGGCAGAAGGCAAAGCTGGCAGTCCGAGGTGACCTTCCTGGGTCAGGGGGGCACTTAAAGACAAAGGAGACAGGTGCACACAGTCCAGGGGTGGGCACCTGGCAGGAGGCACCCACAGAGGGCAGAGGAAGGCTGTAGCGCGAGTCAGGGCCACGGTTCAAGTCACACTGGGGCCAGGTGAAGAGTCGAGTTCAAATCGGGACCAGTTGCCTCACGCAGAGTCTGCACCAAAGGACAGCTGGAGATGGTCAGCTGGTCCCCAGCAAGGCGCCCTGAGCACAGCAATGAGGCTCTTCCTTGAGGATCAGCCACATGCCACAAGGAGTGGTTGGGTCAGAGAGAGCCGGGACCTGTAGGAAGGAAATGCAGGTATGGATGGGAGTAAAGACAGGATGGTTTCTGTGCATTCATTCATTCTTCATTCAGCCAGCCAGTGTGACTTGAGGGCCTACCCTGTGAGTTACCGCAGAGTCAATGAGAGCATGGGCTGTAGA